TTCTGGTCTGAAATAAAGCACAATAATTACATTTAAGACTGTTTCCCTTTTTTTAAGAAAAGTATCGAAAAATAATCGGAATCGCAATTCTTGACTTGGTATCGAAACCAAAATGTTGGTATCGTGACAACACGACAGTTAAACCTGATATTTAGTAGGTCTGTTAAGTATTGAATGCTGATAATTCTGACGTAATTTGGCCGGTCAAAGTTGTTTGGGCTCGGATAAAATTGCTCCGTTACTTTCGTTCCGTGTTACTTTCGTCCCGTGTTACTTTCGTCCCGGCTCTCCCTACGTGTGTATGTGTGGTGTCAGGTGTCAGTATGAGAGGATGACAGCGCGTCTAATTTTGATGTGGCCCAAGAGCCAATCACAATAATACCTGCGAGGCAGTGAACCAATCACTTTTTGAGGGGGGGAAAACCTATCGTTGATTAAACACTACTATCCAGTGTTTCCCCTACCATTGTCTTGGAAGGGCGCTGCACCCCGCCAACGGAGCCCCGCGCCCCCCCCTGAAATTCAAGGTGTTTAAAAAATATATATAATTAAAAAAAATATATATATATCGCACCAAATTGCAAATAATCTATAACTACTGTCACTTTTCACATTGAACATGTGCTCTTTTATTAAATAAACTAAACGCTTTCATTTGAAGTTGTGAGTTTAGTGTTTTTGACCCTAAGAAACACTGATGCATTAATCAATAACAATAATCCACAGCTCCTCTCTGCTCCAGAGGATTTAAAAAAAAAAGATCCCAATGCCACAAAAATGCATCAGTGACGTGGTTGAAATCTTGTCTCCAGAAAACAAAACACTGAAACAAGCGGTATCAGTGACTGTGTGTTTGATGTGGCTCTTTGCAGTAACATAGAACAAATGTGGCTCTTAACCTCTGACTGGTTGGCCACCCCTGATATAGGCCTACACAACTACGGTGTAGTTATGCATTGAATGAAAAACTTGGGTCGCAGGTTCCTCAATAGTGCATTACAAGACATCTATCAATATTTGTGCATACCTCCAGCAATATTAACTATGTTGAAGCACTTATTTTAACTGATATTATACATAATGTATTATACTCTTATAAGATGTATGTAGATATTTCATCTCCGACCTTGTCAGGTATTGAACAATCAATAAATAAAGAACACAGAATTGTTGAATATAAAACACAGAATTTGTGTGATTATACTAAATGATTTACAAATAAACACCACTGCATATTTAATTTAATCAGTTACACATGCTGATGTAATGCAAATGTTCCAACTTGAGATCAATAAAGTATATCTTATCTTAAGCTGATCAATGGCTACTGCCATATTTGCAAAATGTGCCTCTGAACCTTAACAAGTGCATGTTTCAGGCTTATCAATTAATGTAATGTAATGTTATCAATTAACAACAGGGGTCACAAACATAAGACCAGCTGTTAAATAAAGCTCTTCTGACCTTAGCTGGCATGTGTGTATATATATATTAATGCTGCCCATTATGGGCACAAGCCATTTTCACCCATTTATTAATTTTATGTTTTAAATGTGAGTGTTTCCTATCCCCTAAACCTCCAGGGATGTACACAGTTTAATACTGGCAACTTATTATTATGGGAAATACGAAAACGTCTTTTAAAACTACAACTCCCAGTAGAGACGTGCCATAGATACAGAACATGTTGCGAAACAGAATAGCCAGCATTTGTAGTTCTGGGGACGGGGTGGGGGAGGGGGGGACGTGGTGGACCCGTTCAAATCCAGTTTTGGACAGTCTGCCTTGGTTCCATCCCATTTCAAGTGCTGTTCGAGGCTCGGCGTAACCCTCGGAGCACACTCTCCAATCACAGAGCTTGAGGACTATCACGGGGTTTGTCAAACAGAGCACATGGTGTAGTCCAAACGATAGCTGGGGATTCTGGGTAGTGTAGTGTCTTCTGCCATCCTTTACTCCGAAAAAACATTTGTTTCTCCGAATCGAAGGGGAAAAATACAAAAGCATTGCACACAATTTAAACCAATCAATGTTGTGTAATTAACAAGGATAATCTGGTGTTTTCCAGTCGATGAGTAGTGCAGATATCACTGTAAAATCAATCGACAGTAAGGGGAATACTTACTTCCGGGTGTACAATTCTCCGTTATCCAATGAGAATGGACGCTCACATTGCCTTTAAGGGCAGCCGACACAAACGAATGCCGTGCTTCCATGAGCGTCCATAGAAGCATATGGACATCCCGGAAAGCTGAAAATGGACGCTAAGGGCCCCCCCCCTTGCGTTGAAAATGGACGCTAAGGCCCCCCCCTTGCGTTGGAAAAAGCCGACAGGGGACTTGACATAACGTCAACATAGGCCGACCTGGGAGTGAGGATGTGTTGCACAATGCAACAGAAATCAACAAAGGAGTCCAGTGTAGGCTTTTCAGGCAGGGAGGAGTTTGTGGGATAGAGATTTTAGCCGTTGCAGATCATTTACATCTATTACATTTACATTTACAACGATAACTCAACACAGGAAAGGGAAAATCCCAAAGAGCATAACAGGCCCCTTTAAATGAACTAACTGCACTCTGAATGTGATTTTTGGAGATCAAGTAAAACAGAATCAGTTCTTTTAGCCAAGTGCCACAAATAATCTGCCACAAAATGTGTATCTCTGTGTAGCAAAGCAGATCCATACCATGATAGTCATCACAATTCCACTATACATAGAAGGCAAGTCTAGTCAAGAGGCTAAACACACAGGCTGAAATCCCCCAGGGACTGAAATGAATTCTCAGAAATGTTTGTAACAACTTCCTCAACTAAACTCCTCGGCTTTCAATGATGTACTTATAAAGTGTGGTTTTGTCAACACAACCTTTTAAGAATGGCAAGTCACCCCTGAGAATGTTTGGTTAATAGATTATCTGATCTGGAGATTAAGCTGCATGGACAGACTTTTGCAAAGGATTCAAAGGCTACCAGGAACCACAGTTTATTAGCATTGTTAAAAACAGTTTTCTATGTTGCTCCCTAAGATTTTTCACACAATCAAAAAAAATTACAAACGAGTGAACATTCTGCAGAAAAAAGGATGAATCACTCAAGCCAACAATGCTGTATCGTAACATTCAACTAACTTTGTTTTTCTTATGTAAGATGAAAGCTTGTACTCAATACATCTGGACCATGTGTTCTTTAGTTGTGACATCATTTCAGAACAAATAACATGCATGATTAAATCCTCAAATAACATCCTTCTCAGCAGTCTGTGTAAACGGATTGACATTTTACAAGCACATTTTTTTACTTGAGGTTATTTAAGGCAAGGTTATGATGATATGATTTATTCAGTAAACATTCCAAAGGGATTTTTCAGTAGCTCAGCCTTCAGGGAATTAGCTTGGGAACCGGAGGGATGCTGGTACCAAAAACGGAATGTTGACTGAGAGGTAACAGTTTGCCTTCTGGGCCCTGCCGAGGTTCTCTTGAGCAAATAAGCCTCCGACCCCCACACTGCTAACCTGGTGCTGTTTAATAGCTTCTATTAGGACCAGGAACCCTATTCTAAATGTCAATGTGTGTGCCGTGCTGTGCATATGTCATGATTTAAGAGGAACTCATTAAAATCCTCAATTTCCATAGAAAGGAGGGTCAGGCCGATTGTCGAACCTCAGATTGAGGAGGAACAATGCGGATTCCGTCCTGGTCGTGGAACGATGGATCAGCTTTTTACTCTCGCAAGGATCCTGGAGGGGGCCTGGGAGTACGCTTATCCGGTCTACATGTGTTTTGTAGACTTGGAGAAGGCGTATGACCGAGTTCCCAGGGAGTTACTGTGGGAGGTGCTGCGGGAGTATGGGGTGAGGGGGTCTCTACTCAGGGCCATCCAATCTCTGTATTCCCAAAGCGAGAGCTGTGTCCGGGTCCTCGGCAGTAAGTCGGACCCATTTACGGTGAGGGTTGGCCTCCGCCAGGGCTGCGCTATGTCACAGATCCTGTTTGTAATATACATGGATCGGATTTCGAGGCGTAGTCGTGGAGGAGGGGGTCTGCAGTTTGGTGGACTAAGGATTGCACCACTGCTTTTTGCACATGATGTGGTTCTAATGGCTTCATCGGTCTGCGACCTTCAGCACTCACTGGATCGGTTCGCAACCGAGTGTGAAGCGGCTGGGATGAGGATCAGCACCTCCAAATCTGAGGCCATGGTTCTCAGCAGGAAACCGATGGACTGTCCACTCCAAGTAGGGAATGAGTCCTTACCCCAAGTGAAGGAGTTCAAGTATCTCGGGGTCTTGTTCTCGAGTGAGGGACCAATGGAGCGTGAGATGGGCCGGAGAATCGGAGCAGCAGGAGCGGTACTGCAGTCGCTTTACCGCACCGTTGTGACGAAAAGGGAGCTGAGCCAGACGGCAAAGCTCTCTGTCTACCAGGCCATTTTCGTTCCTACCCTCACCTATGGTCATGAAGGATGGGTCATGACCGAAAGAACGAGATCGCGGATACAAGCGCCCGAGATGGGTTTTCTCCGCCCCTTAGGGATAAGGTGAGAAGTTCGGTCATCCGAGAGGGACTCGGAGTTGAACCGCTCCTCCTTCGCGTCGAAAGGAGCCAGTTGAGGTGGTTCGGGCACCTAGTTAGGATGCCACCTGGGCGCCTCCCTCGGGAGGTGTTCAGGCATGTCCAGCTGGGAAGCGACCAAGGGGTAGACCTAGGATCAGGTGGAGGAATTATATCTCTTCGCTGGCCTGGGAGCGCCTTGGGATCCCCCAGTCAGAGCTGGTTGATGTGGCCAGGGAAAGGAAAGTTTGGGGCTCTCTGCTGGAACTGCTACCCCCGAGACCCGACCACGGATAAGCGGGAGAAGATGGATGGATGGATGGATGGATGGAATTTCCATAGTGGTTTCATTCAAGTTTTAGTTATCGTAATAACAGTTGAGTTAAGTTAAGACCTTGTTTACTTAACACATTTGTGTACATGATGCTGAATACATTCTACAAACTGACCTCGAAACCAGTGATGGCTATCTGGTGCATGGAGTCGTTGACAGACTTGATGATGTCCAGCATGGTGGTCAGAGCCTCCTCCAGCTCAGCCGTCCCCTCGCCTTTATTGCATTTCAACATCTCCTGTAAGACGGGAAGGAAGAAGGGGGGGTGGTAGAAAGATCGAATAAGGCAGGGTAAAAGGAAGGAAACACAGAATAAAACACTACAATACAAAAGAGAAGTCCCAAAGGGAGAACATTACTGAACATTACGGTTTGGGTCAGTAAGGTCGTGTATGAGGAGTGACTTTATGTATGTGTTCCAAAGTGTTTCAATGTAATAAAAGTAAATGAGAATTATAACAAATTGTATAGATAATTCCATTTCATTTCATTAATACCACTCCCTTAATAGTCCACTTGCCAACATTGTGAACCCAGGAATGTCGGACGTTTTTGTTTGATGTTAAAATTGTATACTATGGGACCCCAGCTTTGGTTTAACTAGCAATAATTAGTATAAATGCCTTATGGAAAATAGGGCTTTTTGGGGATGCCAAATACATTTCTGACATTTTCAGGATCCAAAATGGCAATTTGAACCAGAAAGAGGCCATATTTGAACTCCTGGTGGCCGATTTTGAATAATTTTGAGTCGATTTTAAAGTTTTAGAAGACACTGGAATTGATTTGATTAAACAGATCATGCTTGATCAGCTTATCTATTGAAAATAGTTGAAAAGTATACATCTTAGGATACTTCTGACGACAAATATAATGATGAAGAACATGTACATTTTAATTCACAGACCATCACACTCTGGGTATTGGAGGTTACAGTGGCAGCTAAACCAAACAAAAAAAATATGGCATTTGACTGTTTAACAGGTAGAACACATGAATCCTGGGAGCGCAAAAATAATCGGAGCAGAAATCTCTTATAATGATAAGGAACGCCAGAATGAAAAGGGAGAATGGGCAAAATGTAAACAGGGTTCAAGATTGATTGATATATAAGAAAATAATGCATTAGAGAACCCCTTACTCTAATTATAACCTCTTATACATGTGTTTTATCAGTGACATGGCCTGTATGGTATGAGTATGGAGTAACTCTTGTCATGGCAATGCAGTCGAGTCACTGAAAAGTAAAATTATTCTGAGATTCTTCTCATGAAAGCAGCTCATTCCTGAAGACTTTGGTTCCTTATAACCCAATTTTAGAAGTTTTTTTTTTTACGATTTCCTTTATCTTTTCTGATTTTGATTCGAAACATGTGTTGATGAAAATGGTCAGAACATTATGTGTGTTAAACACCACTAACCGTTATTTCAGCAGAGCTGACCATTAATAATAACGATAAAAACATTTTCAGCTGATTCACATGGCTTCTCTTCCTCTATTTCAACACCACTGATAACAAAGTGAGGGATGTTCCATCATCCTGGAAGGTGGACATGGTGACACCGATTTTTTAATCTGGGGATAAGGCAATGATGTCCAATTATAGACCTATCACCATCTTCCCCTGTGTCTCTAATGGCGCGTTTCCACTGCAGCGGGTAGCTCGCTTTAAGTGTGCCTAGCCGTGCGGGGCCCGTTTTTGCTTGCGTTTCCACTTGGCCTAGTACCGGCTAGCGCAGGGGTGCCCAACCAGTCGATCGCGATCGACCGGTCGATCGCGGGGAGATTCCCAGTCGATCGCGAGATGTGTCTAAAAATAGAACAACAATATTCTGTTTTATCGTTAATGTCCTGTAACATAATCTTCCTGTGCCAGAATAATGCACTTGAACGCATCAAAGCTTTGTGATTGGCCGGCGTGACCCCAGTCGGGGGCGGGGCGTGGCTGGTGAGCAGTGGACTAGTTCGCTAACGTTGTCCGTGTCAACAGGAGTGACAGTCCGCACACACACAAGACCGCAATTATGGCAGAAGCAAAACATATATAATTTTCACTCCGAGTGGGAGGATGATTATTTTTGTATCTATTCCAATTCAAAGTCCATTTGTCTCATCTGCAATGTGAGCGTGGCTTTATCGAAGAAGGGTCATTGAGGAGCGGCATTTCAAAACAGTGCACAAACGCTACGAGACGGAATTCCCTCCTAATTCTGCCCTACGCTCCCAAAAGGGGAGGGGCCTGAAAGGACAGCTAAATGCACAGCAGTCCATTTTCACCAGGCCCAACAACAAGAGCAAGGCTGCTACCAGAGCATCTTATCGTGTCAGTCACGTTCTTGCGAAACACATGAAGTCTTTCAAAGACGGCGAAGTTGTGAAAGAAGCTTTCCTGGAGCCTGCCGATGCGTAATAAAAATAACAGTAGCATTTCAACAGGTTTTTGATATGATAAAAACTCAAGTTAGATACCGTTATTAATCAGCTGTAAGTTTGAGTTTGTTTGAACTTATTCATTATAATTATTGTACAAAATGGTATAAGAATGCAAACTTAAATTGATTATAGTCTATTATCAATTCAGGTTAAGAAACTAGTGTTGCTTGCATCCTATTTTAAAGGCATTTCTTTGTATACTCTACTAAAATGCAACAAAAAAAGGGTTTGATTCTATTAATTTTGTCTTTTGTATTGCACTGTTGCAACAGATTCCTGTGTAGCTTCAGATCTGAGTTGTCTTATGAGTAAGCCTAATTTATACTTTTGTAGCAACATTATTTTTATATAATGGCAAAGAAAGGGTTCAGAGTCTTTTCTTTTTTCCCTGTGTCATATTTGGCAGGGTTGTGTAACCCTTATTGTAACATAAGGGTTACACAACCCTTGTGTAACTTCAGTTAAATACTTGTATGTGTGTAGATTAGAAAGAGGTAAGATAAAGGATCTGCAGTATTTTAGGAAGTATTCATCGTACAAAGGTCAGTTTTATACAAGTAGAAGTGTGTATTTACCTGGTAGTAGGCTATCAGTAATGGCTACGCCTCTCTATTTGGACTGGTAGATCTCAGCAGACTGGCAACTTTAAAAGTAGCTCTCGGTTCAAAAAAGGTTGGGCACCCCTGATGTACATTGAAAAAAGTAACGGTCCAAGAATGTAACCTTGTGGAACCCCAACAGGGTTGATAAGGTAGGGGAATTTGGCACCGTTGACCAAAACCCACTGTTTTCTGTTCAATAAGTAAGACTTAAACCAATGTATAGAAACTGCCGAAAAATAGAAATAAGTCAGCTTTGTAAGGAGCACTTGGTGGTCAACGGTGTCAAATGACTTCAAGGAATGATCAAGGAAGACAGCACCTACATAAGGGCTTGTGTCCAACATACATTTAACTTTTTCCACAAAGATACAGTTAGCTGTCTCAGTGTAGTGGTGAGCACGAAAACCAAACTGGTTTATAAATCACTCTATACATTTCCACTGCAGGCCTCGCTCGGCCTCGCTCGGTTTGGTTAGGCCTTATTACAGGGTTGCCAACTCTCACGCATCTGGCGTGTGACACACGCTTTCACTCTCAATCTCACGCTCTCACGCTGCCCAAACTATTCTCACGCCAAAAACAAGATGAACCGGCGATCGTTTTTGGTTGGTTATTTACAATGTTGAGTTGACAGTTGCTCAAGCTGTCGATCCGCTCCCTCCCTCCCCGCCCCCACCACTCTTAACAACGTTAAAAGACAACAGAGCAGTGGGAGCCGGTTGGTCAATCCCTGACCCGTATTGTGCATGCGCAGATCTAAGATCCAGTAGAAATGATAAAAAAATAAAAGTCTGCTGCTTATTACTAGGCCAAAATAGAGTCAGAGTATATGAGAGTGAGTGTGTTAATTAGAGTGTGTTAATTAATATATTTGGCAGTTTGTAGTAAGTCTGTAGATTTGTTTGTGTGTGTGTGTTTCATGTATAGGCCTCTCACGATAATTAATTTTGTTGGATACATTTTCCCGGAAATTATTGCGATAAAAGATAATATTGTCGGCACCGTTGTATGACCATTTTAGACCACTGACATAATGATAATATATAATAATAATTCAAGTACATCCTTTCAAACTGCTAGTCACATCCTCATGTAAATGTAAATGTATCGAGTTCATTTTTATTTATCGTACGATAAGTCAATTAATTGCTTATCGCGACAGGCACACAATAAAACAGTGGCAACAAACATGTGTTTGACTTTCATTAGTGAATGAAACGTTGTGCCCTTTATAGTCTGTGTCCAATATTGTGTATTTGTATATATTGTATACTGTATATATCCTATATATATGCTAAGGTCCCGCTACTGACACGATAGCAGTAATTTAGTGCGCATATGTGTAATTAAACCCATGATATCAAAATCTCACTCCAGCCAGGTACCCAAAGTTGGCAACCCTGCCTTATTAGGCCCGGCTCACTTTAATGCTGCGCTTCCATTACAGTTTAGGAACTGGGGCAGTTACTATAGTAACGCAGTGTAGGCGGAGCCGTGACGTCATCTTCAATGAGAGCCCCAGAAAAACAACACAACCGTTAGCTCTTAGCACCCATAGCTCACAGCTCTTCATATATGTTCAGAAACTAGACAAAAGTTAAACAAGTACAAACCACAGACTGCCTGTGTCATGGCGAATACAGTCGCTGGTTTATTTATGTCTGTATAGGCCGTTGTTGTGAGTGTGGACGGTCGGAGCATATATAACGTTAGCTTAGCCAAGCTCCATTTAGAAAACACGCATTTTAAAAGGGTTTTTCGTCTGCTGTCTATCTGCAGACTAGTCAAAGCATTAATTCATGGTTTTTACTAACCGGTATCAGTATTTTGTTACTTCGGCATCATTTTGAAACGTGTATTACAATTAAATCACGGTCAAATATGTTCATCTTGTTGTAGTTGTAGCCCCGGCCTTGCCAGCGATTCTCTCTCTAGTTTAGCATAATCAGCCCGACTCAGCCTGGTTGTTCCTGGCACTAGAACCACGATTTTATGGGGCCAGAAAAACTGTGAAGTAGGACCCGCTAGCCCAGGGGTGCCCAACCTTTTTTGAACCGAGAGCTACTTTTAAAGTTGCCAGTCTGCTGAGATCTACCAGTCCAAATAGAGAGGCGTAGCCATTACTGACAGCCTACTACGAGGTAAATACACACTTCTACTTGTATAAAACTGACCTTTGTACGATTAATACTTCATAAAATA